TAACAATCAAATTCCAACATAATAGTTTTTGAACAATTCCAACATAATAGTTTTAGAACAATTCTTAATTTGACGGATCTAACATGTTCGCAATCTTGTCACGTAAATTACCCAAGTATCGAAAGGAAATTGATATTAATCTAAAATATAAATTAGTAAATAATATCAATATTAATTGTAAATTATTAATTAATATTAGTTTTTTGGTTATTTATTAGTAATAAGATGAACAATAAAATGAGTTAAAAGTGAGAAACTTAAGAAGAAATATGAACTCTTGATCATTTTAAAGGGTGTTTGGTTAGAAGTATTAAACAGTAATCAATGAGAATGAAAATAAAAGGAACTGTTTGGTTTTTTATAATATAATGAGTTCATTCCTCCAAAAGCCTAAGATTTCATTCATGGTTAAACTGAGGGGAATGAAATTCATTCTTATTTTCATTCTCATCCTCACCTCATGAATTGCACTTCTCATGAAATTAATCTAGTGAATCTCACTAATACTGATCTTCAATTAGAATTGATCTAAAAGTGAAGATCTTTTTTTATCCTTCTCACCATAATTTTCATTTTCGCTGAAACCCGACCCGTAATACTAATTATTAAATGTTTTGAATGAATATTAATCATAAAAATAATAATAAACAATTATTCAATAGATTTATTCGACTAAAATCAAATATAAAAATCATAAAAATGTTTTTACAAATTACGTAAAATAATATATATATATATATATATAATGTTTCATAAGTAAAAAACTTTGATAAATAGTTTTAATAAAACATGTAATTTAATTATTAATTTTTATTTTTGAAGAGTTATTAATTAGTTAAATATTTATGGTTGACTCGCTTATTAGGTAAATACTTACCGACAAAAATGAATATAATAATGTATTTTATCATATAAGATTATAATTTATTAGAACGATATCATACACTCTTACTTACTAGGTAAAACTTGTCATTCTTATAATCTATTTTACCGTCGGTCCTTGCATGTTCATCCGATAAGATAAATGACCATAAGTGCTTATTGAGTAAGCATTTAGTAAACGACCATTTACCAACTCTCACTGGATGAGTGTTGTCCCAAATAAATGTTGTTCCAAGTAAGTATTATCAAGATAAGAGTATTTACCAAATGTCTTTTTGATGAGTGCTTATTAACAAAAGAATTACCATTATAACCTTTTTTGCAATAGTCTAGAAAACAACACCAAGGCATGTTAACTACAAAACAAAGCACCATTAACCACAAGGGTAGTGCCTGATTGGTTTGAGTTTGACTCCAAAGGCCAAAAGTACCTGGAGGTCCCAGGTTCAAATCCAAGGAGGAATAAAAATCCCCTTGTGGCCACCGAGGTTCAAATGCGGTGACTCCGGGCTATCTGCAAAACAGATTGTCGCCCTGAAATTAATCGGATCACACAACGGGTTGGATATCCAGGTTAATAAAAAATAAACACCATTATTCCCTATAGAGCCATACCAATTACTCCTTCTCTCCAATAAAATCAAAAGCTCTCAACATCAATCTTTTTCTTGTTCATCTTCTTCAAAACTTTTCCCTTTTGCATTTGAGCAATCAAGTTTGTTGAAAGAGGGGCAGTAGATTCTATATATGCTGAAAACCAGGTTATAGGGCTATATCTTTAGTGGGTAGTGGAACTGGGTGGACGGTCTATCCGCCCTTAAGTGGTATTACCAGCCATTCTGGAGGAGCAGTTGATTCAACAATTTCTAGTCCTCATCTATCTGGTATTTCATCCATTTTAGGTTATATCAATTTTATAACAACTATCTCCAACATGCGTGGACCTGGAATGACTATGCATTGATCACCCCTATTTGTGTGGTTCGTTCTAGTGACAACGTATTGGAAAATAATCTACATACAATCGAATCATTACAACAATACGGATCAAATTATAGTTTGAATCCTTCGATGCCTTCATTCTCACCACCACCACCAAACTCACAGATGAGCTTCTCTAGAAAAATGAGAGTTGTGTTCTATAAATTGTTACAACAGATTCTCATATCTAAAACAGAGAAATCTTTAAATTAGAGAATTCTCTAAAACTTGATGTATGGAGAGATAAACTACTTTTTTATTTATTCCGACCAATGGGGTTGAATTATTATTTTTTTATATAAATTATTTTTAAAAAGTGTATCGGAATGTTAAATTTATAGAATATTCTAATAATATAATAGATGTTGAAATATCCAAAATAGAGAATCTGTTGGAGTTAAATGTAATTTCTTTTAAAAAAATTATAGAAAATCTCTAAAATGACCGAGTAAACATTTAGTAAATGACTTATAAGTTTGTTTTTGTTCATATTATGTGTAATTGTTTTTGAGCTTATTATCTCAAGTCGGAACAAGTTGATAGGATCCCCTTTTTACATCCACATGTCCTCTGTATGGTGACATGGGGGTAGAGATGCCAAATGGGCCCGGCCCGGCCCGTAACCGCCGGAGGACCGGAACCGGGACCAGAGAGGGACCGGAACCGTCCCGGGACCAGTATGGACCGGTTGTGGACCGTCAGTTATGAACCGGTTATAGATTTTAACGTTTTCTAGGACCGAGACCGGTTAAGACCGGAACCGTTTATGTAACCGGTTATAGGCCCGGCCCGGCCCGGTTAACAAAAGTCAACGTGTATATATATATATATATATATAACAAAACATATTTTTAAACGTATTTATATAAAATATATTAAAAATAACATATTACAAACATATTAATAACATATTAAAAATGTATTAATAAACAAAAATTTGAAAAAAAAATATTTTTTTTGGCCGGGACCGGATGGGACCGGAACCGGGACCGGATTCCTTAACCGGTTATCGGTAAGCTTGACTGGTTACAAGGTATTTCACCGGAACAGGGACCGGGACCAGTTACCGCCGGTTTTTGTCTTGATTAGGACCGGTAGGGATTGGTTAAGGACCGGCCCGTGACCGGATTTTGGCCATCTCTACATGGGGGCGAAACAAACGTTGGGTGGCCAATGCGGAGCGGATGCCCCTCTCTATTATCTAGATATACCAAGAAAGATGTACGGTCTAATGAGGCTACTATGAAATATTTACTCATGGTTGGGGAAAGCTCTTCTATTTTGGTTCATAGTTTCGCTCAAATGACCCTTTTTCACAATGAGAATTTATATAACCCTATTTCGGCTGGTTGGGGGAAGAATCCACCCGAATCGGATTTATTGAGGAACGTATCGAGAGAGTAGACAATGTGTGGTTGGTAAACAAGGATCGGTTTTTTCAAGGTACATAATGTATCGTCAAATATTCAATATAAAATAAGAGATAAATAAATCAAAATCTTTCATCGAAAGATACACACTATTCTGTCTTTTCTATCACCAAATTACGATGTCATTTTCTTGTTCTTGAACGGGCCTCTTTAATCTTGCATTATAAGTTCACAACTGAACAGATCGAGCAAGTTCGAATTGACGAAACCTGAAACCCATTAGTCCAGAAGCACCAGGGAAAGCAACAAAAGTCCTCAGATCAAACATTAATTTATTTATTAGTTTTTTTTTACTGTTATTCTATCATTTAGTTTGTCAAACATAACTTATATTTTCCATACAATTTATCTTTCTTGTAAACCTCCAAAACTATAGTTACAAAATTTTAAGATGACTAATAAAGTGTTGTTTGACAGTTACTGAATGGTTCGGTGCAAAATGATGAAGTGATTAGAATGATTAAGAGGCTCTCATGATATAATGCAAAATGAAATATAATTGTTTACAATGAAATTAACACGCTTAATGGTTAAGGGAGACCCATGATACAAAACCGTTCAGAGGGTTTTAGAATCATTAAGAGACATATTTTTTTTTTTACCAAACAAAATTCACCTCTTAATGATTCAGAGTCTGCCTCTTAATAGAATTATTAAGAGGTAAACAAACAACCCCTTAAAGATCCCGATCGAGTATTGTATATAGGGGTGCTCAAAAACCCGACCAACCCGATCAACCCAACCCAACGCGAAATAACTCAACCCGAAGCAACCCGATGTCTAATCGAGTTGTAAAATTTTCAAACTGTAGGTATTGGATTGATATTGAGTTACTATTATTTGAACCCAACCCAACCCAATCCGATGAACCCGATATGTTTTTATTTCTTGGATTTAATATGATTGTTGAATTTTCATTAATATATGCATTAGACAATAACACTATCACGGACGCTCTTCATATACACATCTTTTCAATCTATTCACATCTCTATATAACTCATTCGTATATATGTTCAGTAATTGTAAACATATATACGTAAATTGAGAAAATTAACTGAATGTGATATACGTAAAAAGTATGAATAAATTATATCAAATGGTTGATGATGAAAAATAAATTATGAGCAGAGAAATAACATATTCAAAGTTAGAAGAATATTTTAATGTACCAAAGTATCAACCCGACCAACCCGTACGATTTGAGTTGGGTTGGGTTGCACTTTTGTTTGGGTTGAGTTGAGTTAAAATTTTTCAAACTGCAAACACGGGGTTGGGTTGATCAAATGTCTTCAATCCGATCAACCCAACCCATAAACACCCTTAATTGTATGGTTAAATTGATGCACAAATGAGGTCATTTTTGGTGTATTTTTGTTCTTCGTCTATCTTGAAGAGAATTCATTACGCTGTTTGTTTATTTCGAGAAAGAAAAAGAAAAAGAAAAAGAAAAATGGAGCACATGGTGCCACGGATAAAAGTCGAGTCTTTTCGGGTCTACCCGCCAGAACGTCAAGATGGCATCACAAATCACAAGAACTTCAAAAACCAGCAAACGATGCTTAGATGGGTATGACATCATTTGCAATAATCTTCCAAAATTTGGGCAAATTTTATAAAATCCAGCTTAAATTTGGGCAAATTTTATAAAATCCAGCTTTAAAAATACAAAACCCCCAATAATTTCTTCAACCTATGTTCAATATACTAATCTTCCCTCTTGTCTATCTCTCTACCTTCGCCGGTCTTCCCAACGTCTGCATCAAATTCTCCAAAGAACAAAAATCCTAAACAATCTACAGTTTATGCGAACCTAATCTTCAAGTTTATGCTCCTGCTATTCGTTCGACTTGTCTAAAGGTTTGAAGTTTCTTCTCTACATATCTGTTGACTTGAATCATGAGTTGGTATCTTGCTGAATTGGTTCATAATCTTCTGAATAGTTTGGCTCAATTGATGGATATTGTTTAGTTTTTGTTCAATTTTGTTTGGTTTTATCATATGGGGTTCTTTCAATTGTGAAGAAATTGATTGAAGATTGAGTTCTCAGTTTACAAATCTTGAAAGGGGTTGATTCATTTTGATTCATTTAGGATCATATAGTGATTTGATTCATTTTGGTGTTGTGGGTATCTAAGAATTCAGGTTGCTCATTCAGATATTGGTTGTTGTCATGTTGAAATCAGTCCATCGATCTGTGTCAATTATAGGGTGTTTAAAATTAGGGTATTTTTTCTTTGATGTTTTTATAATCTGGGATTTGTTCCATTTGTGGCTGTGATTCATTGATGGAATTGTTTGTTTTCATTGGGGAAAACCAAGATGGTTCTCTGCAAATCTTGAAATATTAACCACAAGGGTGGTGCCTGATTGGTCTGAGTTTGGCTCCAAAGATTAAAAGTACCTGGAGGTCCAGGTTCAAATCCAAGGAGAATAAAAATCCCTTTGTGGCCACGGAGGTTCAAATGCGGTGACACTGGGCTATTTGCAAAGCAGATGGTTTCCCTGGGATTAGTCGGCTCGTATAGCGGGTTGGATATCCAGGTTAATCAAAAAAATTAGAAAATCCAGTTGAAATCTAACAATTTTTAGGTGTTTTATAGGGTTTTAGAAATCTAGGGATTAAGAAAACTTGGTTGAATTGTGCTTTTAGGTCATTTCTTTAACCATTTTTGTTGATTTTGTGAATAGGTTTTGGAGGACTTTAGGTTGGTTTCAATGGTGATTGTGGGATATTTGTGTATTTTGAATTGGAGGACTGCGGAATTCTTGAACGGATTATGAAACCATCTTTATCTCACAATTGTCAAGAAGCTATTCCTCTGTAATGATGACTCCAAGAAACTAGCAATGCCCTTGTTATTGCCTATTGATAAGATGGAATTCGTGTTCTTGTAAATGAGGATGGCAGTGATCGTGTTGAGTTTTCTACTTTTAATCCAATCACCGATTATATTTGCCTCGGGATATTTGCCTTTGAAGGCTTGTGGGACTTATCATATCAGCTATTCAAGTGATTCAAGTCGCAAATTGTTTTATTTAAACGGGGAATCAGTAAGCAAAGATTTCTTTTGCAAGTACGTGAAGGCATATCATGCAAACCATTGTTTCGTCAATAGGAATGTAAAGAGTCATTGCTACGAGGTGGATCCTTTTTCAGGTACACAATGTGTTATACTCCCTTTAGTCCTAGAATAAGTGACCATATTTCTACTTTAGTTTGTCCCAGAATAAGTGTCCATTTTCGAAAGTAAGTGCCCACTTTCCAATTCTACCCTTATCTTTGAGATGGAGCAATTCATTTATCTCTCTGTTATTAAGGGTAAAATTGTAATTTAGCTAATTGAAAAGTATAATAATTACATATTCCTAAAACCATGTGCTTTTTTATGGTGTACATTTGTTCTGGCTCTCGTGTTAACTTATGTCCTTTTTACGAAAAAAGAAACCTACATACTCCCTCCACGGACTCGTTCCATGAAAATTGGAACAATTTAACTATTTGTCAAATATCTACGACACCCTTTATGACACATAAATGAGTCTTGCGACCCGAGTCAATAGCATCATATTTTAACGATGATGATGGGCAAATACGTAATTTTATCTTGAAATCATCCCATAAAAAGAAATTTTGCAATTTTCAGTCGGTATTTGGCAAAAAAGGGAAGTGTTGTGGTTCTCTTGGGACAGAGGCAGTAGTGAGTTTTATACAGTGAAGTGCTTAACACTTGTGGATTTTGAATGTTTTTTGTATTCTTGAGCAGATGGGAGGAGATTTCTGCGAAATTTAGTTAAAGACGGAACTCTAGAAGGAGAGGGAAGTGACAGAAAGAGAACAAAAGGCGATCAAGATTCCGTCTTTAAATCAAAATACTTTTTCATGGGTGGATCCGGAATCTTGATTTTGTGTGGCAGTTTCTTTTGCCCGTGCTTTTGGGCTAGAAGGAAAGATCCGGCGGCCCACACCGTTCTTGCGAAGGAGGCAAACTCAAGTGAGTAAAATTGTGAATGTTCTGAATTATACTTGCATGCCAAAAAATCTTGAACCCGTATGATGCATGCATGTCATAATGTTCTGAATTACATTTACACTCGTCTTTGCCTCGCTCTTACTGGGTAAGATTCTTGGTCATTGCCATATTCATCAGGTAAGGTAATATAACTTGGTAAGCGCTTACCCGAGTAAGCATTTGGTAAACGGCCCCTAAATCCATGACCTTCTGATGAGTATGAAGCTATTTTTTAACAAGTCAGGAGGTTATGGATTTAATTAAAATCTCATTTAAGGTTATCTACCTAAATAACCCCATGGACACATTTTTTGGGGTGCAAATTACATTATTACAAGATTTTTAGGTATATAACCTTAAATGAGATTTTAATTAAATCCACGACCTTCTCATGAGTATAAACCCATTTTTTCTTATATAGCCACGAGGTTATGAATTTAATTAAAAACTCATTTAAGGTCATTTTCCTAAATGACTCCACAAATCACGCACAGGGGCTGTTCGGTCTAACATTCGATATAAGACCTTTGGGGTCTCAACATAAACTATAATTTTTTCTTGTGTTAACGCTTATTATCTTAACATTCAAACGGTCTGCTACATTTTTGGGATTTTTGTTGCCTAAGATGGGATTAATATCGGTTTTGCAGTGGATTCAACTTCATCTGTCGAAATGAACTCTGTTTCTGATAAGATTCCAGCCAGTCCACTGCGTGTTCCGCCTAGTCCGAGTAGATTCTCGATGTCTCCAAAACTTGATAGGATTGGATCCGTTCATCTGACTATGAGCCAGGTTGCAAGAGCTACCCAAAATTTCTCGTCATCGTTAAGATTAGGCGAAGGAGGTTTTGGAACCGTCTACAAAGCTCAACTACCAGACGGTCAAGTGGTTGCCATAAAACGAGCAAATAAGGTAATACGAACACTTGTTTGTATCATTATCTCTTTCTGCAATATTACTGTGGGTTTGATTTATATGTGAGATGAAAGAAAGTTTTTGATTGTGAGTCCTGTTTGCGACTACCGGAACCGCGGATGGGCCCCACGATATGGAGAAGGGAGGAAATGTAGAAAATGAATTAACCCTTTTATCTTTTGTTTGATCTTGCTTCAAAGCACCGTGCTTTTTTCACTTTTAACGTAAAATAAATGTGTAGGAACATTTTGAAGCTCTACGAAGTGAATTTAAAAGTGAGGTGGAACTACTTGCGAAAATTGAACATCGGAATCTAGTGAAGCTTCTTGGCTATGTTGATAAAGGAAACGAGCGTCTTATTATTACTGAATACGTGCCTAATGGTACACTTAGAGAACATTTGGACGGTAAGGTTTTCAAGATAATAATTTAGTCGTTCTGAAAACAACCGCTTTATTCTTTGGGGTTGCGTATATTTGATCCTCCATACCCTACTTCCGAGTGGGATGTAGTGCATGCGTTCGATTTGGTTTAATAACTTAGTCGTTGCCCGTTTCAGGTGTTCATGGAAGTTTCTTGGATTTTAGTCAACGACTTGAAATTAGCATCGACATTGCTCACGGCTTGACGTACCTCCATCTATACGCAGGCAATGCCGAAGCCCGATCATAACATACTCATGTTCTTTATTTTCAAGATTTTACTTATTACTTCCTCGTTCCCGAAATAAATGTCCACAGTAAAAAACACACGGTTTTAGGAATGCATGATTATTACACCTTTTTACAATTTTACCCTTAATGGATTTCGCCATCTCATCAACTCTTAAATATTTTCCTCCTATGATTAAGGGTAGAATTGGAAATTTAGTGAATTATTTTGAAAGTGGACATTTATTTTGGAATGAGTATAAATAGAAATGTGGACACTTATTTTGGGACGGAAGGAGTATCTTCCTATGGGGCTCTTTTAGTTATTATTGTTTTCTTGATCTTGAACAGAAAAGCAAATTATCCACCGGGATGTGAAGTCATCCAATATTCTTTTAACGGAGAGAAAGAGAGCAAAAGTGGCCGATTTTGGGTTCGCAAAACTTGCGGATGCCGAGTCCGAGAAAACACATGTGATGACCAAAGTGAGGGGGACGGTTGGTTATCTTGACCCCGAGTATATGAGAACCTATCAACTCACCCCAAAGAGCGACGTTTACTCTTTTGGTGTTCTACTTATAGAAATTCTCACGGGTCGTCGTCCGATTGAGTCGAGGAGATCTCACAAGGAGAAGGTGACAATAAGATGGGTACGTTACTTCTTCTTTAAATGCTATAATGTGATACTGAACACTAACATATAGATCAAAAACCGAACGAACCCAATATAACCCATTTGAAAGTAGGGTCTGTGGAGTGGGATGTACGCAAACCTGTCCTATACTCTAATCATAGAGTGACCGCTTCCGTTAAGACCCTCAGCTTCTGCAAAAGTGTGAGTGAAAAGCTCAAGAAATGTAGAATAGGTCGGGTTCCGGTCTCCTACTGGACCGTAATGCTGGTTTCCGTTTATTGATCCGAACCGAATAAGTTATCTTTATTGCGTTAAGTGAGCCGTTTAATTCGAAAACTGAATAACCCAAAACCGTCTTGGTTTCGGAATTTTTTGACACCTCTAAGTATGTCCCCAATGGTAAAAGTTTTTGAATCCGCCACCGAGTAGAACCCTTGACCTCCAAGAAGGTTGAGCTCTGCCAGTAATCTGGGCGTCTAGCCAATGACCACTTGGTAACCGAGAGTCTGAGCCTATGTTCTTTTGAAGTATATAATACTTATATATGTCAAACACTCGGGCGCACTTCTCGCAGTTGGTGAGGTTTCAATCCTTGACCTTCTGAAAGGTTGAGTTTCTACAGTAACCCGGGTACCGTTGGGCCAATGACTCTTTACCATTGAGTTTATTGTCGGATGATTTCAGGCGTTTGGGAAGTTCAATGAAGGCGAAGTTATGGATTTGGTTGACCCGCAACTAAAAGAAGGCGTGGACAGTGAAGTCTTTGCGAAGATGCTCGTTTTAGCTTTTCAATGTGCGGCACCGACACGAGCGGACCGACCGGACATGAAGGCGGTGGGTGAGCAACTATGGGCTATCAGAATGGACTATCTTAGACATGGAGGAAAAGGGGAATTCAGTTAAGGTTGAAAAGCAATCAAGTTTTGTTGCTTAGATGACTTGTACCATGTGGGTGTATGTCAATATATGGTTGGTATAAATGTACAAGCATCTAATGCATGTGTCGTAACATGCATGGTACAAGCACCCAATGCATTCGATGAACTCTGGCTGGTTTTGTGAATAACATTGAAGATGGTTGAATTCAGGCTTCATTCATTGGATAAAAGCTTAACCTTTATGTTGTGCATTAAGGACTTGTACCATGTGTATATATGTATGTATTTTGGCTTTATTTTTAAATTTGACAATAAATCGGTGGTGGAGTCTGGAAGTGGAAACAATACGTTGAAAACTTTTCTTTATCGTTGTACTCGGTATTTTTGTTGGATAATTTTATTCTCTTATTTCAAACAAGATTGTTTGGTAATTTTTTAGAATGATTAAGTGGTAAGAATGATTAAGAGGCTCTCATGATATAGTGCAAAATGAAATATAATTGTTTGGTAATTTTTTACAACAAAATTAGGGTGTTGAATGGTTAAGAGAGACCCAAGATACAAAATCATTCAGAAGGTTTTAAAATCATTAAGAGGCAAACTTTTTTTTTACCAAACAAGATTCACCTCTTAACGATTCAGATGCTGCCTCTTAATGGAACTATTAAGAGGTAAACAAACAACCCCTAAGGTTTAATGTTTTATCTTGTATGTGAATATGTTTATCAGTTGGGTATGAATTAGTTTTATAAACTTTAAACGTATTAATAAGTTGTAAATGTTGTATAATATAATATTTTTTATCGTACGGATATGCTAATATCGAATGTCCTCATGATTGAAATTTTGGAAACGGGTTATGTCTATATGTACGTGTATTATAACGGGGCTGAGGGTTTCAAAGAAGAACGATACTATTTTATGAGACGTGAGAACATCTAAAACAAACAATAATCACACATGATATTGTATGAGGACAAATAATACACCATTCATGATAAATGTCCCGCAGATATCTAAGACACGTGACACAGTCTCATTTATCTTTCGATTCGCAACATAATCTAAACTTTTTTTCTTCTGTTTTGATTAACCTGGATATCCAACCCGCTATGCGAGCCGACTAATCCCAGGGCGACCACCTGCTTTGCAGATAGCTTGGAGTCACCGCATTTGAACCTCCGTGGCCATAAGAGGATTTTTATTCCTCCTTAGATTTGAACTTGGGATCTCCTGGTATTTTTGACATTTGAAGTCAATCTCAAACCAATCAGGCACCACCCTTGTGGTTAACATAATATAAACTTGCAACTCAACTCTAAAAAAAACATGTAAACCTGTATATTAAATGAAGAAGCAGAATAAAAGTTACGATGATATTTTTTAAGAAAATTGACCAAAATAGTCAATCATTCGACTTCAATTCAATTTATAATCACTTTTAAATGTAATATCTAAAATAGCTATTTTTTACACAAATACCTTACCTAAAGTACTTTTCTCTGCTTAGAGCAACTCCAACCATATCACCAGAAAAAAAAACACCAAAAACATCAAATACGATGCTCATAAACACTAAAAAAACTCAACTCCAATCACATCTAAAAAAACACTAAATTTATGGACCCCACATTAAAATAATATATTTGTAATTATTTATTTATAATTTCTCAAAAAAAAAAGGATTAAAAAGAATTAGTGGTGAGGACCACCTTTTTGGTGTCCAAATCCTGCACGGCATTTTTTGCCGTTCAAATTCACCTTCCGGCAAAAAAACGGTGAGTTCGCCGTTCGATTGAAACTTTGAAAACGGCAAATACAAGGTTTTGCTTTTCGATTGGAGTTGCTTTTAGTCAATTTTCCTATTTTAGCAACATCTAGGATTTAATTAAAAGGACTTTGACCTAACGGTATTATAGTCTTCGGCCTCCTAAGAGGTCAGATGTTCAAATCTCACCAAAGATGAACAAAATGTATGAGTTTATTTGTTATATTTATCATATATAAATATTATATACTTAAAAAGAACATCCAAGATTTATGATATTATCCCCTTTTTTTCTACTTAAAAAGAACATCCAAGATTTATGATATTATCCCCTTTTTTTCTAATTACTAAACAAACACCTTTTAGATATTTCAATTTTATAATTAACATTAAAATTTTAATATATAAATATTAGAATGTTTTTTCAAAATTTGGATTTTCACTTTTTTGTTAACTACAAATTTGGTTCATATGGTTTGTCGAAAATAACATTTTTGGTCCCTATAATTTTAAAATTACTAAATGAGAATCGTGGTTTATAGAACTGTTTAGATTTAGTTGCTTTTTTTAACGACCGTTAAAAAATTTCGTTAAATAAGGGGTATTTTCAGGGACGGACTCAAAATTTTTTCAAACGGTGGCACCATTTGACTATAAAAAAAATATAGGGAAACATTATCAAATTGTGGCACCGTTTGAATATAATAAACATATATACGGAATTTTTTTTCAAATGATGACACCATTTGACTAAGAAAATAACACTAACAGAATTCGAAATTCGGTACGGGTGAAATAAAAGCTTTGCAAACCAACTCTACCAAATAAAACTTGTTCTCATCGTAGTTTTAAAATACATACGATGTCACACAACAAATTAATACGGTTGCATATTTCACGAACCTAAATTTTTTTACCCTTTGATGGAGGAATAATATGATGGCACCACTATACTAGGTCCGTCCCTGAGCATTTTCTCCCTTTTATCGACTTTTTTGTATTTTACTCAATCAAAATTGAAAATTTATGATTTTGTTCTTTTCGGTTTTTGATGGAGTAAAAGACAAAAAATTGATAAAAAAAAACAAAAATGCTCTTGATTTAACGGATTTTTTAACAACCGTTAAATAGAAGGACCAAATCCAGACTTTTTTACAAACCACGATGGTTATCTTGTAATTTCAAAACTTCAAAAACAGAAAATATTATATTTGATAAACCACAGGGACCAAATCCGAAATTAACTCTAAAATCAATCGTGACCGTAGACGTGGCATATCTAAAGGTGAAAAGTCAAAAATGTCCCTGTCGACAAAACCCATCGTGTCCGATTAAGACCTAAATTGAACTGGTAAGAATAATAAATACTAATTAAGACCATGATTAAGTGTTGATGACTTAATACCAATTGTTCTTCTAATTTTCTCGCCGCCCAAAATCTTCGCTTAATATACAGAACACCCCAATCGTCACTTTCTCTCTCTAAAAACTGTTACCTTTCTCTCTCACACACTAACACCAAAACGCCCACTAAAATATCAAGCAAAAAGTGTTCTACTATACACAATTTTACCTTGGATGCTGCTCTGTTGGTTAACGATTGCTTTCGAATTTTGTGTTTTGTGGCTGTAACTTCAGGTTCTTCCAGCAAATCTGTTTGAGTAATTTGTTGCTATCATCTTAAATTTGGTTCGAAGAATGTCGTTCGTTGCGGGATTGATAATCGGAATTGTAGTTGGGATAGCATTGATTGTTGTATTTGTTCGGTCTGAGAATGCTCGATCTGTGCGTCGCTCTGCACTTGTAAGTTCAAAAAGTTTGATATTTTTTTTAATTTTTAATTTTCGTATACTTTTTGATGTGTGGAATTGAATTGATTTGACACGATACGGTGCTAAATCAGTAAAATTAACGATTGTATGTGTAAGTCGTAGGTTACCATGAGACCTTGAGCTCTGAGACCATAGCTATCGACTCTTCTAGAAGCTTAATCTCGTACAGGAAGAGTACAAATGTTTTATCTAGCTTTAGCTTAGCTTTCACGCACTTGACCATTTGTTTATTTTGGTGTTCAAGGATTCAGCTTGAGTTTATGCAAGTTTTGAACCGAATGAAAGGGGGCATTGGGGTTGCTGACATCTATTTGTTACATTAAAGTAGTTTGGGGATGGGGCTCGAATTGCATAAATGAACTGTGAACATATCACTCATTGTATGAGTAACCCCAACAAAATTGATCTTGAATATAGAAGGTATGCTAAGTTGTATGTAAGTGTGGTGTGTGAGCTGAATTAAATGAAATTGATTTGAGTGCTCAATTCTATATGGGACTATTTGGGGGATCAAGCATGACCCACTTCTGCTAAAGGATATGTTTGGTGTGCGTGACTTGAATGCCATCCACACAAATTGACACATTCCATGTCTATTTGCATAGGTATAAGTTAAATGATTTATGCAAGGGGTTGTACTTGTGTGTGAATTGAATTGTTCAAGTTGATATCAGCTCTAAATTTATGCAAGGGGTTGTTTGTTGCAGCAACACATGGTTAACTTTTACAGCAATAGAGGTTGGTGTTTCAAATCTAGGGTGTTTAAGTGCATTAACATGTTGTAACATTTAACTGACATGGAAACACAGGATAGGTGGCTGTGTTTGTGTAAATGAACTTGATTTAATACCAAATTACCATTGCTGAACTGCATACATATAGTACTCACAATTTGATGTCTATCTGTACACGAATGAAATTCAAAAGGATCTGGATTACACACCCATCAAACTTTCAACTTCTCTCAGTACTTTCAAAAACCTTGTCTCAAGCTGGGGGTTTCACAGAAATGTCTCTAATCCTAGGGGTAGAGAAATGTCTAAGTACATCCTACCCTCCATAGACTATACTTTTGAGTGGGATATACTAGGTACATTGGTTTGGTTTATACTTTATACGCATACTCCAGTCACACTATGTTAGTTGTGTGTGTAAGTTATTTGATTTTGAGTGGATATGAGGGCTAAAATACACACACAATATGCATATTTCCGAATGTGTGTGCTAAAACATGATTTGAAGTGTTTCTATGCTGATTATTTTTGCTAGTGAGTAGTTAAATTTACTTTGGATTAATGAAGCAGATGGCTCCACACTTGATAACATTACATTTTAAAAACACCCTCCACATGTGTATCTATATGTGGTGGATTGAATAAGTTTTGGTTTAATGTGATGAAGGCAACGACAATTGCCGCTTTTGCAAGAATGACAGTTGAAGATTCAAAAAAGTTGCTTGCCCCAGAATACTACCCTTCTTGGGTTGTCTTCTCACAGAGACAGAAGTTGAGTTATTCTTCTAACCCACATTCTTCCTGCTTATTTGCTTTCTCTCTGTGTTTTTCAGTTTGTGTGGGACTGATGGTTCTGTTTTTTTTTTTCAGTTGACTTGGCTTAATGCTCATCTTACAAAGATCTGGCCCTATGTTGATCAGGTCAGTTTTGCAAGGGTTGACTGTATTATATTTTTTTGGATAGCCAATTTTCTGCTTTGGTTCTGTAGTGACTGTATAAATCTGTCTGTAAAGTGGGAGCTACAGGTGGCCTCTGACCTTTTTGTGGACAAATTTCCCTTTTCAACTAATTTTTTCTCATGTTATGCTGCTACTGAACTTGCTATATGTAGATGTCTGTATGTGCGGCCAGCAGAGGTTATGGGTTCTTTCGTTATAGTAATCCACATATTATGTGATTTTGGATTGTTCTGTAGGCAGCGTCTGAGCTTATAAAGTCTAGTGTGGAGCCAATTCTTGAGCAATATAGACCAGCTGTACTGTCTTCTTTGTCGTTTTCCAAGCTTACTCTTGGCACAGTTGCACCACAGTTTACAGGTTAGGATAATTTATGACTGTACCAGTTGCATTCATTCTTTGATCTGTTTTCATGTTTATTCATTCTTTGATTCAACTCATTGTTTATAGTGGTAGCTAGCATGATTTGCTATTTATAAGAAGATTTCACATACTCTTGAATTGTAATTGATACAGGCTTTTACTAATTGTGCATGTCTTTAGGAGTTTCAATTATTGAAGATGAAGGAGAAGGAATAACCATGGAGTTAGAGATGAATTGGGATGGGAACCCTAATATAGTACTTGATATCAAGACCAGACTTGGAGTTGGATTGCCTGTGCAGGTAATTCGATTTCCCTAGCTATCTATTTTATTATTGGATAATAGTCGGCTTTAACTTGGTTTACTATTAACAATACACCACCTTCATCTCCTTTGTAATTGTTTACTAATAACAAATGTGAGATGGGTCATGGATGATTGATGATATGTTTTCAAAGATAATGAAGTCAAGTTCAACCAGGAAATGTAGAACTTGTCAAAAATATTCAGAAAAATCAGGCGTCACACTTTATTAATATTAGGCAATGAATTAATTAAACTTTTTGCTGTTTATCATGGTTGTGATGAGAAAAGGTAACCAATGAGAATGTTCAAACTGGAAAATATGTTGGAATCGTAAAAAATAAAAATAAAAATAAGAACTGCAATCTCCAACTAGTTTCGGGTAAAGGGCTTGTTAGGACTTAGGACTATTGTGTGGACCTGCTTAAACTACCAAACAGATGATTATATATCCTTACTGAGTACATTAGTGTGCTGACCCCCTGGGGGATTCATGTGTGTCAGATGGTACTTTTTCCTAAATAAGTGGATACCCCAGTTTTAAAGTGTCAGATGGTGATTTATTATCGTTCTATCTTTGCTTGGTGACATTTAGGCTAATCCATAATGTAACTTCCGTTCGTTGGAATTCAATTGCATTTATAACTTTATATATGCTCGGACCTTCTATAAATTGTTTCTGACATCATCCCCGAGGGGTTGAAAGCAAATACAAACATGACAATTTAGTTCTCTTGTATAGGTGAAAAATATTGCGTTTACAGGGGTTTTTAGGTTGATATTTAAACCCCTAGTTGCCGAGTTTCCTTGTTTTGGAGCTGTATCGTTTTCTTTGAGACACAAGGTAGACATCTGTTCTCCTTTAATTTGTTACTTTAGATATACATCCAATGGCTGAGTAAAACATCCTTTTTTCCTTTTGAATGTTGCAGAAAAAGATGGATTTCACACTGAAAGTAGTTGGTGGTGACATTTCAGCCATTCCTGGCGTTGCTGATGCCCTTGAGGTGAGACTTTTTTTGTTTCTGTTCATCTCCATTCTTTCTGTGGTTCCATATTCATTTCTCCTTACACAAGTAATAGGACCTACAATCTTCGTTTCTCCACACACTATGTAGATGGGACCCATAAAACTAAAACGATGAAAGAGCCAAAGATTTCTGTGTTGCAACTCTATAATAGCATCCTGGAAAAAGCTCACCTGAAGATACTGATTATCTAGGAAAATCTTCTAATGTCAAATGATATCTTGCATGTTTCATGTCGGTATTTCTATGTTACTGTATTACAAAGGATTACTTCAAGATACTCATACATAGGAAAGTCTTCTGATGTCAAATTCAGTTTCACCGTCCTTTGTTGTACAAAAGTATTGTAGCTTGTTCTTCATAACTTGATCTAGTTTAAATCATGATCATGTAAATAGCAGGATCATGACTCATGGCTGAATTAAAACAATAGTCCCATTAGGTATTGTTGCCTCCAAACATTTAGGGACTGTTTGTTAATGAGCTTAATTGGACGTACAACTTATTCTGTAAGTTATACATGACTGTTTGGTAGTGGCTTAATAGTGTAGAAAGTGGCTTATTCAATAAGTTTCTAGGGGGAGTTTTATGCAGAAAGCCAAGTTTTTCTAAACCTGCCCCTCCTAATTAAAAAACATGTTCATTCCATCAACGGAAAAACCCTTCCAAACAAAACTCTTGCCAATCTATATAGACAGATTAATCCATAAAAATAGTATTAGTTTGTGATAGAATGACTAGTTATTTGGTTTAAACATTCATTTTTCCTGAATGAACTATAACCATCTGACTTTCATGTCAGCAACACTAGAAGTTAGAGTCATGCTGATACCCATGTACTAGCAACATTTCCATCAATATGAACAAAATGCTAGCTAAAAAATCCTGTCGCTATTCTCTCTTTGTAGCCTATGCTCATATCTATACTATATTGTAAAGCATTTAGGCCAAACTCTTAAACACTACTTTTTATGCATCAAGTATTAATGCATATTACGTAAAATTAAAGATTACAAGTTGATTAAGAATAAGTACAACTTAATAAAGCTCCATGTGTGAATTCGTGTAACTAACTGCTGTTAAACATAATAAATATTAGATAAGCACTATAAGACAAAACACTTATTTTTCTTTAAAATATCTAAAATTTTAAAGCTTTTCATATAATTAACTGACAAACACAAGAAAATCCAAGATAAAACACCTTATTTTTAATTTTTTTTATTAAAGTATATTATCTTTTAAATTTTAAATATGAAATATCTTAAATATAGTNTATATATATATATATATTATTTTTTATAAATAAAATAATTTTATTTAAAATTAAATATTATATTTTTGGGTAAAAAGTAATATTTAAAGAAGAAATAAAGAGAAAATAATAATTTAATATATAAAAAGAGGGTAGAAAAGAATAGGATAATATGAAGCGTATGATGAGGTGCATAAGGAAAGCGTGTGGCACATGCATAGCCACCTGCAAATGAGACAACTAATGTGTCCAAATTCACCACCACCATCCCAATATTGTCCAAAAGTCCTTATCCCCATCATCCAACGGTTCTTATTAAACATCAATTATAATACTTTTCTTTATATTATTTTAGACAAAATACCTAAAATAATAACATATTTTTATAAAAAAAAATTATTATAACATTCTACTTTTAATTTTTATTATTAAAATAATATATTTTTATAACAAATCTAAATTATGATGAAACTTAAACTAAATAAATTAAACCATTAAAATAATATATTTTTATATTAAATCTAAATTATGATGAAACTTAAACTAAATAAATTAAACCATAAAATTAGAATTTTATAATCTTTAGTTTGAAACCCATATTGATATATAGTTTAAGATAAAATAATAACCAACTCATCTCTAGATTTCTTAGTAAAATAAAATCGAGAATTACAAACAACAAAACAAAGTATAGATTTCAGAATCCTGCTGCATTGCAGGGGGTACACTTCTAGTCCATTTATTGAACATCCCCTTGATTGCACAATAAGCCAAAAGAGGGATGATCAGATGCCATTCAAACTGGAAGTGATGTGAAATACTATTGGGTCTTACTAACATGACTTTCTGTTTCAAAATAGGATTTGGTTTTGATGGGATAATCAAGACTATTGCAATGATCATTTCAATGGCATTAATGCACCATCACTATTGTAGTATGTATATATGCATTTGCTTAAGAGATTTTCTTGTTTACGCAGAATACCATACGCGATGCTGTTGAGGATTCAATCACCTGGCCAGTTCGAAAAGTTATTCCCATTTTGCCTGGGGATTACAAGTATGTCTACAATCTGCAAACTTAATGAAAATTTAGTATCTAGAAGTACAAAAACAAGGAGGCTTGGGGTTTGATGCTAAGTTGATATACGGGTCAGTGGCGATCCCGATGAATTTTTGCAGCGAGGGTTACAAAATAGTTACCGTAATATAAACTTAAATAAAAAGTAATTATAGTGCCATAATACAGTACAAAACACTATGAAATTAAGCAAACTTGGTTGCGCTTGCTAATTCATTGATGAGCTGTGGGATCAGCCTGAAGAGCTGCATATTTTGATTTAAAACGAGACCAGAATCCATGACCTGCAGTCACCCCAAAATCACTCTTACCACTTCTATGCACCTTTGTTTTGTTTCATTTTACCAAATAGCTGGTACATATCTAATAAAAACGGTGGCACCTTTATGGGTTGTAGTTTTTTTTTCCACTACGTCGGGGCAATGCCAAAGACGTAGGGTTATGTTGTATGCTTCAAAATGAAACTGATATCAGTATCACATATCGGCAAGCACTTTTCTCGAGTTTATCTGATCTATATTGTTTTGATCGTTAGTGACCTTGAACTAAAGCCTGTGGGAACATTGGAGGTGAAACTCGTTCAGGCTCAGGGTTTGACAAATAAAGACATTATTGGGAAGTCAGATCCTTTCGCCGACTTATATATACGTCCCCTGCGCAATAGAATGAAAACTAGTAAAGTTATCGTGAGTTCTCTTTTCTAGACTTTTTCGTTGTCTTTCAGATATTTAAAGACGTCTAACTTTGCACTTTTTATGTTTTCTCCAGAACAACGAACTGAATCCAATTTGGAATGAACATTTTGAGTTCATAGTTGAAGATATTTCCACACAACACTTGACAATAAAAGTATACGACGATGAAGGGCTTCAAGCATCTGAACTCCTTGGATGCGCTCAATTACAGTTGAACACACTTGAACCTGGCAAGGTGAAGGATGTGTGGATAAAATTGGTAAAAGATTTGGATCTCCAAAGGGATAATAAAGACCGAGGGAAGGTGAGCATGATGGTGAATTATGAAATGTTTGAGTGTAGGATATTTTTTTCTTTCAGAACTTGTCTTTTTGGTCTAGAAGAGCAACATTTAATCACATCCTCAAAAGCTAAACTTTCCGAAAAGCTAGTTAGCGGATAAACCAGTCATGTTTGGTAAAAACTAGCTGATAAGCTAGATGACGATGTCAAATGACCTAAAAGGACATGCTGAAAAATAATTGGAAAAATATAAGGGCATGATTGGAAAAATGTGGAAAAAAGCTCTGGAGGCTAATGAAATGCTACTTAATAAAGCTAGCTTATCAGCTTGCTTATGGCTAATCAAATTGGATGAAGTGGAAAGAAGTGGAAAAAGACCCTTGTCATGATGAAGCTACTGTTTACGTTCTTTGGTTGATTTAGATGCTTCTTTGTTTGTATTTTCATCTAGGTGCACTTGGAGCTACTGTATTGCCCATACGGCATGGAAAATGGGTTCACAAACCCGTTTACTTCTAATTACACAATGACATCCCTGGAAAAGGCTCTTAAAAGTAATGGAGATGCTGAAAATGGTGATCTAGCCCAAAAGAAAAGATCGGTAATTATAAGAGGAGTGTTTTCCGTCACTGTGATATCTGCTGAAGACTTGCCTCCTACAGATCTTATGGGAAAGGCTGATCCTTTTGTTGTGCTTACTATGAAGAAAACCGGGATGAAAAACAGTACTAGGGTACTTTTCACATCTCCGTTTTACATTGAAAAATTACTGAACCTGCACATTACATATTGCAGTTTGGTCAGTGGATTATATTTGTTTTTAAAAGATTTTGTTATATGTTCATAGGTTGTGAACGAGAATTTGAACCCGGTTTGGAATCAGACGTTTGACTTTGTTGTTGAGGATGGGTTGCACGACATGCTAGTTGTGGAAGTATATGACCATGATACGTTCGGGAAGGTACACTTGTTTTCAGTATATTTTCATCAGTCAAAGACAATTTTCTTCATAATGTGTATGTTAAAAAGCATTTTTCGCAATACAGTGGTCTTAACTCTTTATTCTTTGAGGCAGATGTAATGTCTGCGTATAAATCTTTATATGAACTACAAGGCAAAATACATCAAAATGTAACAAATTTTTGTTTGGCTTCCTTTTTAGTATAACGAACATTTTTTTCTTGGATTAATGTAACAAAGTTCAGAAATTTTCTCGTTTTGGCTTCCTTTTTAGTAGAACGAACATTTTTTTCTTCGATTAATGTAACAAAGTTCAGAAATTTCTCGTTTTGGCCCGTAGCCTGTTGATCTTGTAACATTTAATGACATAGATACCCGTTTACAAAATATTTACGTAAGGGCTATGACTAAGTGGACGAACAACTTAACATCCACATTATCAAATGTTACAAGATCATCAAGTTACCGGCCAAATGGGTGTATAGAATTGGGAAATTTGAAACTTTTTACAAAGTTGATTGCGAAAAAAAATTGTTACACTAAATAGGAACTAAAGAAGACTTTGTTATATTTTGATGCATTTTATCCTAAACTATAAAATTGAACTACTTTTGGAAAATCTTGGACCTTGTGTTGGTGATAAGTAATCAACAAGTGTTTATTTGCAGGATTACATGGGAAGATGCATTTTGACACTAACCAGGGTCATATTGGAAGGAGAATATAAAGACTGTTTTCCACTTGATGGGGCTAAATCTGGTAAACTCCATTTGAATCTCAAGTGGATGGCTCAACCAATTTACCGTGATTCTTAGCATTTGAACACCACGATCTCTTAAAGATCGAGCCCACATGAGCTCTTGATCTTCAACAAAACCGAATGGTTCTCCAGAGTACAGATGAGGTACATAATCTTTGTTAAATTTGTGGTAAAAAAAAACTAAATAGATTTGTGAGTTAATAAGGGCATACATATACTTGTTTGGATTAGCAGGATTTTGGTTTTGTATTCTTTCTCTGTATCTTTTATGCAGTTTTTGTTTTCAATCTTCCATCACCAATAGTTGATTCATGTCTTTCTAAAACGCCATGAACTTACGTTTGGCGAATGCCAACCACCATTTGTTCGGAGTCCCGTTTCCTCTGTATGCAACGTTCAACAATCTTCTACTCGTTTCCTCCCTTATCTGCTTGAAATAATCCCGAAGTACCTCTGCACTTTATAACAATTTCATAAGAAAACTCGTTGATTGTAAAGGAAAAACAATCAGTATGGCGAGTTACATGCTGTTTTACGAACACAAATTGGTCCAGGTAAACTATTGACTGAAAATGGTTATGTACCAAGTGTCTGTGTAAGCGTTGACCAAGCATTAACCGAGTCGGAAAGCAACCATTTCCATACTATGTCAGCATATTTGTGGGTCCCTTCTTATAGGGTAAGCAGCTTTTACAATAAACAACATACTTGTGGGTCCCTTCTTATAGAGTAAGCAGTAAGCAGCTTTTACCCGGTAAGAGGCGGTTAGCAAATAGTAAACATTATATTTATGGGTCCTTTCTTATAGCGTAAGCAGCTTTTACACGGTAAGAGGCGGTTAGCAGATAGTAAACAATATATTTGCGAGTCCCTTCTTATAGGTTAAGCAGCTCTTACCCGGTAAGGGGTCGTTAACAGATAGTAAACAGTATATGTGTGGGTCTCTTCTTAAGGTAAGGATAAGAGGCGGTTAGCAGATAGTAAACACTAAATAGTAGCAGGAGGTCCCAGGTTCAAATCCAAGGAGGAATAAAAATCCCCTTGTGGCCACAGAGGTTCAAATGCGGTGACTTCAGGTTATCTGCAAAGCAGGTGGTTGTCCTGGGATTAGTCAGCTCGCATAGCGGGTTGGATATCTAGGTTAATACAAAAAAACAGTTGTCCCTTACCTGCTTCTTTCTTAGCCCCGGGACGGGGAAAGATTCCATGAAAAGGAAAACCAGATTCTCCAGGAACATGAACATGTTCAAAACCCAGGTTCTTGATGGCATTTGTTCCTTCGGTCACAGTTCTGCAGCCTTCAAGCCTTTTCAAGGCCAAATTTATATAAAATGTTAAATAAACCAGAATTCTATCAGCAGGGCTTTTCAGATCAAAGTGTTTGAAGAACACATTTGCTCTAAATAACTTGATTGCTTCATCCACAATGTCTTCACCTGTAATTGGCTTCTATTAGCATCAATATTCATGTTCTTAACTATTAGATCTGTTATGAGTGCTTATCGTTATGAGTCAACACTGTAATTTATTTTACCTGATAAGATTATAGTACATCAAAATGGTATTGTATTTAACAATTTACTCGGTAAGCGCTTACCCGGGTAAGAGTCATCACCATCACTAACCGAGTAAGACTCTTCATCTTTATCATTGCTCTTACCGGGTAAGATTTTTGACCCTTGCCATGTTCATCCGGTAAGGAAATTTACCCAATAAGCACTTACCGGGTAATCGTTTAGTAAATAGCCCTTAACTACTGTTTTTTGTAGAAATGCCACTAAGATCACCAGACTCTGAAGAATGGGTGATTTTGAACAAACCAAACGAACCCAATATATCCCATTTGAAAGTAGGGACCAGAGGTGGGATATATATATACCTACACAAGTGAAAAGCGGCTGTTTCTATAAAGACAGTATAAAGTAAGTAGCCCAAAAGTAACAAAAGAAATAAGCACATTGAAACATATGCACAGTAAACAAAAACACATATTCATCTGTAGTAGGACTTGTAATTATAAAGAGTAATAAACTATTTGTAGAAATACAAATGTTGAACAAAAACACTGTACTTGCATTTTTACGAAGTTATAAGAATGATGGTTGGTTTGTAACTTAGAGACTGTTTGACAGTTGCTGAATGGTTTGGTGTAGAATGATTAAGAGATTCTCATGATATAGTGCAAAATAAAATATAATTGTTTACAATGGAGTCAGGGTGTTGAATGATTAAGGGAAGTCCATGATACAAAATCATTCGGAGTTAGAACCATTAAGAGATAGAATTTTTTTTATCAAACAAGATTTACCTCTTAACGATTTAGAGACAACCTCTTAATGAAACTATTAAGAAGTAAACAAACAACTCCTAAATCCAATAGTTCATAAAGTTACTAGAGAGTGAGGAACTAAAAAATCCATCATGCTTGGCATCTTCTTTTCTCCAAAATCGCTAAGTATTCGTTCGGTGTTTGGTTTGTTGGATTTGGAATTTCATTCCAATCCAGAATTTAGGTTTAAAAAGGAAACATGCGGAATTGAAATCCCACAAACATTGGATTTAGAAATCCCATAGGATAGTTGATATTTTATGGGATTTGTTTGCAGTAAATTAATAATATTTTAAAAAAATATGTTAAAAATATTCATTTGTAATAATCAATTAACGAAAGGTACTTTAAATATTTTTATAACTACTTATACTTTGTTTTTATAAAATTATCTGTAAGAACAGATCAATTTCATTTTAAATCATGCAAACCAAATACATCAAATATTCCAAATTCTTCTACGAAATCCAAGTCCATCAAAAATATTTTATCAAACCAAACGGACGTTAACGGTGTTTTTCCCCTTTTGTTTGCATTTTTACAAGCTCAAGAAAGATGGGACCTTGATCGGAGCACCGAGCGTGTCCTTTCGTTTGGTTTCTAATCGGAAGTAAGGGACACCCGCAAGCTTTAGAAACTCCTCCTAGATCGACGATTCTGGAGTGGTAAACCTGCATAAAAAGGACGGGTAATTTTCCCTTTTTTGCGTTTATATTTAGGAAAAGTCTAAAAAAAACTCAATGGACTTTAGTGTTTGGAATGATTAAGTCCTTGGACATTCCAAAACATGTTAAATAACTCATTGGACAATTTTTTGGAACAAATAAGTCATTGAACAATTTAAAACATGTTAAATAACTCATTGGACAATTTTTGGAACAAATAAGTCCTTGGACAATCCAAAACATGTTACATAACTCCTTGGACTTTTCTAAAACCTGTTTGATACATTCTTATAACTTATATAACTAGTTAAAGTGGTAAAATAGTGGAAAAAAAAGTCCGAAAAAACATTCATATTTTGAACGATTAAGTCCTAAATATTTTTTGAACCAAAAATTATTTAGATCTATAAAATTAAACAAATATAACAAAAAAGAACTTACATTTACAAAAAAATAATTACATTTAAAAAAG